TAGGCAATTAAGTATATAAAAACTAGCACTTCATTTTCTGAACCTAACCCAAGCCATTTATTTTCTCAAGCACATAGAAAAGGGTTTCCTTAAGAGGCAAAACTTAATTTATCTGGTATGTGTCTGTATCATCTGCTCAGTAGAGCTGGTGATGGTTAGCATTTGTAAAAGCTATTTTTATACCACCATGTAATAGAAATTAATAGATGCAATTTTAAGCAAATGTTAAAGAAAGCAAAAATAAGAATGCAACTCCTTTTATTCTGAGCAAGCCTCCTACTGAAAGTTTGCTGAACTGCATGCATCCCAGCATTGTATGCTTAAAAACCTTATTAGTGAGCACATTCAGAAGCACTTTTCTTTTGAATAAAATAATTTGCTCTTTTTTAAAGACTCTGTGTCTCTGGAGAAATTAAAAAATCCAAAATAACTGCCATCAAGCCTGGCAATATCTGCACTAGGATAGTAACAACTTGAACATGAGTCCTGAAAGCAGCTGAATACTCGCATGTAGGTGCTTTGACAGGCATAGTCTTGAAACATTTCCCTCCTGTAAAATGCATGTAATAGGCATGTTCTTTTCCTCTTGAAGTCTAACAGGCTTATTCTATTTTTAGTAACATATATTAATACATTTTAGTAATACTGCTTACCTTGAGATGTCCCCCCAGTACCACTCCGCTTCCTGCAGAGAGAAACTGGAATTGTCCTTTATTCCGTTCGTATTGACTGGAGTCATTGGTTTGGGGGGCTTTGGAGGAAGAGCTGAAAATGAAGAGGAGATTAAAGGTAAACAGAAGAAAATAGTCTCTAAACTGTTAATGAAATATGACAGCAAAAAAGCGAGAGAAAATGCACATCTTGAACTTGGATTTCAAGCTCTTTCAAAGTAAATGGAATTTGTAATTTTTAAAGAATTCTGAAATCAAGAGCTGCACTGTGATCCTAGATTTCCTAGTACCCAAACCAAACACATGCTTGAAGGAGGGGAAAGGGGGAAGGAGTGTGAAGAAACATGAGTATTGGTTAAAGGGAAGACTGGCTCAGGCATGATTACATTGGTAATCACCACCTAAACCTCCGAACAAGTTACAAAGGTGTATTGTGTTTGAAAGCCACAGCCTGGAGAGCACTGTGCACCACTATAGAAAAACTCCAGTTGCTCAGGTGTCAACAGTCCTTATGGCAACCTGCAGGAGCAAAGAGGGGTGCTCTTCTTCAGAGGGAAAAAAGCTGCTAGCGAGAGAAAGTGGTGGCTGAGCAGCAGCAGACCCAAGGTTCACATTTCATACTGGATTTGTCATTGAGGCTCCTGTTAGGAACAAAGCTATGACTCTGAATAACACAGGGCGAGGTGATGGAGGAAGGAGAAAGGGGACATTAGGTCATTATTCGAGTGCCTGCACCACTTTACATAGCTGAGAAGTTTACCACAGAAAAGGGGATGCTACAAATCCCCCAAAGACAGGCAGAACTGCACATCTGTAGGCCTAGTACATACCTGCCCAGAATTCCCCTATTCTGAATTCAAGGCAAACAGGCTTTTACTCCTCTTCTCAAAATCAGTTACACAATGCAGACATACAACCCACTACAGCTCTTTCTATTTGGTCAGAAAACTTTCTCATGGTCTTGAATACAAGCCCTATATCACGAGTAATTCAGCAGCCACAGGCAAGCTCATGTATTGGTAGAGACTTGTCCGTCAGCAGAAATGCATTACACTATTTTCTTTGAGAAAGATGTCTTGAGTGCTCTCCCCTGCTTTGCAGAGGCTGAACACTTCATCAAGACCACCACCACTGAAACTGAGCATTTTTCAGGCATTTCATGAAGCAGTGTTTTACAGGGACATGTCACATTTGAATTCAGAGTAAGAAAACAGCCTCACACATTGATTTGCTACTTGCACATTTTTAAGTCAGACCCCGAACATCAGTGCTCCGAGCCCTGTGCCCTAACCATCAGATTACACAAGCATCAGTGAGCAGGCCTGACACACTGACAACAGCCATCTTTCAGATGCACACGATCCCAGTGTACAAGCAGAAACACAAATAAAGGGAGCAGAAAGAAGATTTTGATCTCTAGCTCCAGTGCGGAATGGCTTAAAGCTGAGAGGTGTGCTACTTGGCACCATCCCTCTGCTCACCTCCGAGCCACACCTCCCACATGAAAGAAGAGAAAACAGTGTTCCAACTCCAGTTCCAAATACCATTTCATGTTGAATATCCGACACAGTAACTTCACTGTTCTCAGACAAACCAGTTGATACTTTAATCGAGCCAATCTAAACTAAATCTGAACCTTGACCCAGACGTTTGCACCCTGGGGTTGCTGACCAAACACCTGATTCAGATAGCAGCATTCATTCTGTGGGACTGAGCATTCAACCCTAGCATACAGGTTCTTTTTATAGGGTGAGCTGGGAACTTTCAGGTGTGCACATATCTAGTGAGGAAATAACAGGTCTTGTTATAAATGGAAGGTGAAAACCTTTGGATTCAGTTAAGTAGCTTCCTGGTTAAGAGGCTTCGGTTACTCCTAGCTCAACTACTACAGTTGTTTATATAGCACCTAAGTAGTTGTATAAAGCACCATTGAGAGTAAGATGCAGCTCTAACCCTACTTTGCTTGAAGCTCCTGGCCCCATCCTACTTCTGTGGGGTCAGGAGCATATGTCCAGGCTAAACCTGTAGAGTCAATTGTATTTACCATGCCCTATGCTCCATTTAAAGATCCTGAATTAGAAAATGTCTTCAGATCCTCCTTCTTCCCCACCTCACATCTGGGCTGTGCTACCCTATGAGGGGGTTGGAACGAGATGATTTTTAAGGTCCCTTCCAACCCATTCCATTCTACATGCTCTAAGCAAATGACAGGACAGAAGCAGAAGCTCTGAGTCTCATTAGTGTCTGCACATGGCAGTAAATCCAAGTTCAGAAAACCTGTAGATGTTCTGATCTACTAGAGAATCTTTTGTAGATTCTGAGCCATCAATGAGTGCATGAAGATTCATGTGAAAACACACAACAGCGTGGAGAATCCTTAGAAAACTATACCAGCACCAGCAATTATTTCACTTGGTCTTGCAAGTTAAGGCTTGGACATATCAAAAACTTCAAGGCATTTTACAGTGTAAAAGCCTGTTTTACACTGGTAATAGGGGCTTTCCAGAAGAGGCTTTCAAGTATTGTCTAGAGTACTTGAACACTTCTCTGGCCCTCCTTGTAAGATTAGGTCTTGCTCCTTTATATACTGTGGAATTATTTAGCAGCTTTGTTAGGGCTCACTAAAAAGCACTGGGCACAGAAAAGCAAATTAACAAAGACCAGAAGGGCAAGGAACAGGAGTTTGGCATACGGACACAGAGCACTAGACATTACACCAAGTGTTCTTACTGCAGGTGGGGGTTTTTCCTTCTTTCCCTTAATATGTAGGTATCAGTTCTCACTATCAGGGGTTGTCTGCAGAACTTCATTCTGCATGAGAAAACTGGAAGGAAATTCTTCCAGGGAGAAGAATAAGGCTTGGACCAGTTCCTGTAAAACCTGACTCATGGAAGCCAGTGCTTTTCACAATAGACTTTTGAAAAATGCTTTTTAATAGCTTGCACATTTTAAAAATACAAAAGTATTTGCAAGGGTGGATCCTGTTTCCAGAGAGGTATGGATCTAATTCTTTACTTTCAATACTTTGAGCTCTTTGAGTCATAATAGATTTTCCCCTGTGTTGGATATGGAACCAGGCCTTTGCTATTGCTTTACCCAGTAGATGAACGTGCCCATCCACTGAGTATTTCCTGGCTACCCTCTCAGCCCAATATTATTGTAGTTGGTACCAATGGAGAAGTGAGCACCAAGGCAGTTTAAACCCCACAGCCCAGAACCTGTGAGGACACAAGGGGAGCACTTTGTAATAGCATGGCAAGCCTACTGTAACAGAGCAGCATGCACTCTACTGCTGTTCTCATAACACTGGCCCAATGGGTTGCTAGAAGACACATCCTAAAAGAGGTTTTACTAGTACCTAGACAGCAGTAACCACCCTGCTAGGAGAAAACCTGAGATGTTTCTATGAGAAGCTACACAGAGCCTTAAGGAGTCTACAGATTTTGATTTAAATTAAAAAATCCAGTTTTATAGACCTTACTTGATGAACATTAGAGAGCTAAGACACTACAGCAAAGTACAATAAGGCTGGCTTGAAGTCAGCAGAAATGCTTTCAAGAGCAGTCATGTTTCTCTCCATGTCACTGGGTCCAATTCTGATCTAGCCACAGGCTCAATCTGACTTTATCTCAAAACAAGTTCTGATTAGAGGGAACAGTCCTGATAGTTTCTTGCCTCCTTCTTCCTGGGAGAGAAAAAACATTGATCACAAGTGATTAACAGCACAATGGATCTATCTGTTCTAATACAGAACTTGCTGTTAGCACCACATACACAAGCATCCTTCCCCTACCGTGTCTCTAGGGCAGCTTTACGGCACAGATCTTTCCAAAACCCAGAAGGCAACAGCTCAGCTGGACCCCTCCACTCCCATGAGCGCGTTCCCGAGATGAGGGTGAGCCCACAGTGACCGCCTGGCACACAGCGATGCGCGCAGACTGGCCCTCCCTCCCGCACTAGCAGCCATCGCTGGTGTCTCTTTCTTTAGCAACTCTAGTCCCCTCTTTCTAGCTTCCCCAAGCAGCCTAGCTGGAGCTAAATCCCAGTCCCAGATCAGTGTCACTTCGAAGGCGGGAAATAAAGAAGAGCTGGTGATGGAGCGGGGGCGGCGGCAGCCAATGGCTTCAGCTGAGCTGCTCCGCAGAGCTGCAGCGCAGGTCCTCAGAGAGAAAAGCCTATTGATTAGGCTTTGCCAAGGTAATTTTTCTGATGCTTCCATGACTGCAGAGAATTGCTTTTTAAAAAGGCTACTCAAGATTTAATGGATGGGACTCCCTGAAATTCAAACCACCTCCAATACCCAGACAACCAAGACAGCTGGCAAGTGAATGAAGTTTATCACCGTTGTATTTTTTAAAATTAAAGTTTAGGCTATATTAATCCCAAATTTATCTCCAGCAAAGTACACTGTGACTTCCATGAGATATGCACTTTTCCCAGTTTGGTTTTGAATCAAAAGCCTCACAAGTTTACATGATCTAAAAGCCACCGAGCCCCATGTGTGAGGGTTTTCAATGGCACTACTTCAGGAGGAGTCAAAAAAGAAGAATGCCTTGGGTCTCCAAGTGCTACATCTCACATGGCATCCAGTCAAGCAGCCCATTTCTTCCTTGGCTGTTGTATTTGCATACAAGATAAACCTGCCAGTTAATTAAACTCTAATTTGCAGTTTTAAGGCAGATGCCACTTAGTCTGAGAATGGCTCTATAATGTATTTCTTCCAGTATTTTCCAAGAGCTGGAGGCCAAGCGCATAGGAGGTTTAAATGCAGTATTAACTCTCTTACTGTTACACTAATCACAGCTTCAAAGTGCTGCAATAAAGTCAGTTTTAAGTCACTTGGAACTTCCGTGAGCTTGTTTACTAGCCTTGCTTCTGGTGCTCCCGATCCACTCTCCTTCCACATTGTGACAAGAAGAAAACAGATCAGAGGATTTCTGAGATAGTTACCCAGCTTCAAAAAGGCTGATATACAGTAGCTACCCTACAAACTGTAACACGAAGCTCTAAAAAGTGTTAGTACTATGGAAATATGCAAGTAATCCATGGTTAGGCCAGATAACATTTTAAGGACAGAAGGGTTTTTTCCCTTTG